GTGAGGGCTGTTCTGCTCTATGGTAGTGAGACTTGGCCCCTTCGGTCTGAAGATTTAAGCACCTTCAAGTCTTTGATTATCGTTGTCTGTGAAGCATTGCTGGTGCCGGATGGCACCAGCGTACCCCAACGATGATGTGCGTAGGCGAGTACTAGGTAGTGATAATCATACTAGCTCCCTAGAACAACAGATAGCAATGAATCATTTGTGTTGGGTCGGACACGTGCTACGTATGCCTGGTCACCGCTTACCTAGGAGGGCCTTGTTCAGTCTCCCTGGGGTAGGGTGGCACAAAGCTCAAGGTGGACAGAAGTTGAATTGGCAGCGGGAAATGAAGTCACTGACGACCAAGCTGGGTGCCGTTGGTCCGTCTCGCCTTCCGGGTTGGAGTCCACGTAACTCGCCTCGTGCTTGGCTCGAGACTTTACAAGACATGGCTCACAACCGACACCAGTGGCGCGTCTGCTGCCGTCTCCTAATTGAATTGCCTGTTTAAAGTGTGTTTGCTGCTGAGTTACCTGCGGGGTAATGGCTGATTATGACGCGTGGCAGTGAAAGCCGCAAGGAAGCTGTCTCGCCGAAGCCGCCTTATCTTTGCACGATAGCCAGTTATTTGTGACAGTATGTTGTCTACACTAAGTGCAGGCGCCTTGACCCTGAATGTTTGTTTAGGGCATTACGGTTTTCAGGTAAGTCCCCTTTCTCTCCGTCTTATTCTTCTTTAGTTCATAGGTCATCGTGGTTGTATGGCAGCGAAGCATCAGTTCAAACGGCTGATGTACTGCTGTTGTTGACTTGTTGATTGAATGAGTGTGCTCGGCGTAGTGTATTTGGTATAGGAAGAGCGAGTGAAGCGCTCAGCACCATAATATCACCCAGCAGGCTTTGTTGGCTGGGCACGTTGCGCATGCTAGCACACCGACTCCCGCGACGTGCATTGTTTGCGCAACGGTAATGCGGTCGGAAGAGGAGGAGCGGAGGCCAAACGATGACTTGGTCGAGAGGAATGAAAACCCTCACTTCGAAACCGGCGTCGGTTGGTACATCCCGAGTGTTTGGCTGGGGTCCTAAGGACGATGATCAAGTTTGGTTGGACACACTTGGTGATATGGCGAAGAGCCAGCCCCGATGGCGTTTGTGTTGCGAGTTTCTCCGTCAATCCCCCTCCGTTTAGATTCCCCCTCCAATCCCGATCTCATGTAATACGCGTAATATAATAGTTATCATATTTTTCGTGGTGTAAGTTGTGTAATTTTAATGTAATTTTTTAGTCTCTTCTCTTTTTGTATTGCTGCACATTAGCTGAGGTGTATTCCGCACCCTCAGCTACCGTGTACTGACGATGATGATGATGGTGATGACGATGAGGACGCTGGTGAGCATGGTTTCGGGGGAAAGCACTTCCACTGTCTCCTGAATGGGATACGTCGCATGGGCTGCAATAACAAAGAGAAAGATTGTCTCACCCACATTCCGAGACCGCATGGATCTCATGGAGCACAAGCTGGACTGCGAAAATGTAAGTGCGCCTTTCCGATAGAATAGAGCCGAAAGGGTCGAAGAACGGCTGACCCGTAATGCTACGTGCGTTTCACCACTAAGGTAAACGCTTTTGGACCTAAGAACAATTAACTGTTAGACTGGAGGATGTCCTTGTATTACCATTGTAGAAATGCCAAGTAAATATGCGATGTACGAAAAATGTTCGTGGCACCAACTTGCTACTAGGTGGTTGCCTAGATCCTGCTCAATCACCTCGTCACCTATGTCCTGAAACCAAGGAATAGAGAAACTGTGCGGCCGTCGTTCGGGCAGCAGCGCAATCAGTATTGTGTTCACGGCTCATCAACCTCAGAAGTGCCGTGAACCAAACCGGTCAAGGCATCCGCTGTTCGTCAACATCACGAAGGTATTTGATACGGTGAACCACGAGGCACTGTGGTTGGCGTTGCTTAAGTTTAGTTTTATTGAATGCCTGCATAATGGCATAAGGGCGAGGGTGCAGCTGTGCGAAAAAAATTCGGATGACTAGCTTTGTTACTGGTGATGAGTAAGACTGTGTCTAAGCCCTTACTCTATTCATCATATTTAGCTAAATCTCGTGCTATCATGTGTATTCAATACCTGTGACTAAATTGTCCATCTCGAGGGTGAATTGTGAAACATCCACCGTTTCGAAGCAAGAAACCCAGTGCGTGAGACAACCATCCGAATGCTGCGGTATGGAGACGGCCGCGCAACGTTTGCACACAACGATGGACAAAATAGGCATCAGGAGTATGCCGGCACCCCATACCAACGCTTCGCTGCCACGCAATCACCAAGTCGCGCGTGGGCTTGGTATACCGCGGGGCCGTCTGCAGCTATGCAGATTCAGACCGATGACCTCCAGATTGCAAGACAAGCGCCTAATCCCTTCAGCCACTGCGTCGCCAATGCGGAAGCACTCTCAGAGCTGGAAACTAGGGGATGTCCATCCGAGCCCTCCAACAAAGGTAGATTACCTGTCGGCTACAAGCGTCGCTCACGTATGCAAAGATCCTCTTTGGAGCTGATTCTGTTGCGATTGCAAGCTACTCTTCAAAGTTTCGGCGTTTGATCGTTTTCATGCTATCTCAAGCATTTCGTTGCCTCTTGTACGTCTCGTAATCTTCGGCAGAGCCAGAATACGCGAATTTATTCCATATCTGGCGTCACCGTCAAGCCAGTTTGTCATACTACTTGTCAAACCAATGTGAATTGACTGGTCCAGGTTTCCGATATTTGACAGGCACGAATCGGGCGCACAGTGATTCTACTCCCACTTTTATGATAGACCAACAGGTTTCAACTGATGAATTCTGTAGTAACGACCAGTCCATCAGGCTTGAGGCTCGAGTGAGGCCATTAAAGTCCGTCTTCCAGTAGTTGCAGGCTGGCTCCACCGAAGGAGTAAATGGCAGTGGCAGTTCTAAGCCCGCCATGACCATCGAGTGGTCACTAGCTGCCATGGGCTCAAGAACTTGAACATCATGCACATGTTGAGCGCAGCTGGTCAGCAGCAGGTCCAGGCACGATGGAGTCGAGCGCGCGATAATCCGCGTCGGCTGATTGTGTTGTGAGGCCCACGTTTCAAACATCATCTCGACTTCGCAGTGGCCAGGTAGAAGCTCGACCTCGGGCCACCGTATTCGAGGAAGGTGGAAATCGCCCATAAGCAGGAATTGTGGACGACTCATGCGGTTGCGCACTTGAGGCAACCAGTCCAAGCTGCGGCTCAGTGGACGGCGATACACAGCACCTACGTGGAGTTCGCCGCCCCTCAGGTGGATCGAACATCATAGCTGCTCACACAGGTCATCACTGCTCCTGTAAATGCTCACGGATCTCCCGCACAAGGAAGACCGTATGTATAGCAGCACGGCACCGCGGTAATTTGATAGCCTATCACAGCGGAAGCAAGAATACCGTGCGTGGTTACGTGCGTGGTTACACCTGAATTTAACCAAATTTCAGCTGGGCCCAATACGCCTGGTTGCCGAGAGGCAACGAAGTGAGAAACGTCGTCAAGTTTGTTCATTAGATTACAAACGATTGTAAAGGCTACATGCATGTTGCGGTAGAAACCGTCAGGCGCGCATGAAGCGTTAGCAAGCTGTTCATCTGGGTTAGGGGAGGAACCCAGGCAACTATTCGAAAATTTACAATGCGGACATTTGTTTCCCTGCCTTCAGTGAGCCGATTTAGTTCAATCACGGCAGACTTGGGTGTCAGCTTATACGCCGTAACGGCGCTTCGCTGCCGCGCGACCACCACCAGTCGCGCGCGGGCTGAGTATACCGCGAGGACGCCCACCCCTACGCGGATTCGAACCGGTGACCTTATGGTTGCAAAGCAAACGTGCAGACCACTCGGCCACCGGCCGACTTGAGCTTTTCTCGGTTTGCTAGATCCATGTCTGTGCGCACATGATGATGAGGAGGAGGAGGGAATTCACCAAGGAACCATGACTCAAAAATTGGATGTAAAAGTAGATAGGGGTGCATATAATCCTCATGAGTGTGACTTCAAAGTCCCACTAGGACCTATCTCGTTGGCTACACGAAGCTCAGGAGACGCACGAACCGACAGCTGGCACTCTGGGTGCGAAGCATGAGTTGTTTCATACAACGCTCTGTTAGCCTAGTCAGTGCCCCTACCACGTGAGTAGCAAAGGTAGCGCAGAAATATAGTGACCATTTCGAGCGCAAATTTACAGTAGGTAGGAACAGAGGATTCCTGACCGAAACTTTTCAGCCCTGGGTGTCCCAGCCCAGATGTTTAGGAATAAAGCGAAGTCTCACTGGTAGACTTCTCAATGCGGTGGCCCAACGAAAGAATTTTGGAAGACGGATAACGGTCGATGAGTACAGATAACTTGTCACACTGTCAAGACCAATGGTGGCGTGCACATTACATGCCCAACGTATATGCTAATAGAGCGAAAATATATTTGGCTTTACAGATCGGATAATGTCGTCGATTGTTGTGTGGTAGCAACTATGGTGGAGCAAATAAAACAAATGGTTTTCAAAAGCCTCTAAGTCTTTTTGAAAATTGGAACTGAGATTTCCGACTGTTAAACAATGGCAATTCTCAAATGCGTTATGGCGTTAACGAGAAAAGCTGGACCGGTAACAAGTGATTCGTCGCCGAATTTCGGAAACGGTAATGGACACTCCGTACCAGTGACCTTAGGTCCAAGTGACAGAGTAAAAGATTGCGGTATACAGTAATATTTAAATATACCTGCAGAGTCAACTCAGATGTGCAACGCAGTTACTTTGAAAACATCTAGATAAAATGTGCACTCTGCTCGATAGATTACGAGAGAATACAAGGTGGGTAAGGCTACTCTCTGTCGTCCCCTTCGTACTGGCAACGATGGTGAGATCAATTTGGATACCAAAACAATTGTGCGCGTTAAAAGCACATCAAAAATCAGGAGCCATCTTGTTGTGACGATGGAACAGCCAACAAACCTTTCTCGATCTTGGCACGTGAACGGCATGCACTCGACCAAACTGCTTCATGTAAGCAAAGATCTCCCTTTCACCGAAGTCGATAGGAATTCGGCTGAGACGGAGAACGGCACAACTTTCATATTTCGGCATCCCAACTAGGGGAAACGATGCAGAAGACAAATAATCCACCGGATTGAACGGCAGTCTCAGTCTAGAACTTTGAGGGGGAACGGCGGAAACGAAGGTAAAAATTCAACTTCCGGTAGACTAAAATGCAAAAATTCGAGTTAATTGTGTTGCAGGTGAAAAACTCAAAAGATAAAATGGTAAAAAATGAAAAATAGTGCACGAGAAGATTGAGGATTCTCAGTGGATTCTGGTGTACCCGACGTGCAAAGTGGTGTAGTACAACGGGAGTGTCAGAGACAGACCCGTATTGGAGGAATCAAGACCTGCGAATTCTGGCTGTGTTCACATGTGAATCCAGATGAGAGCTGAAAATGTGATTCGTGGCGTAAATGTAGTAGAGATGATAAGTATACAGTAAGGAATAATACCACGTTTTATTTCACTGGTGTTTGGAATGATTCGTGCAGCAGGCATGAACTGCCTTGGGGTGAAAGTAGCGCAGGGAGACTGGGTTACTGAAGGAATCCGTAGTTCGCCGGTGCGCTGCTTCGCTACCACGTGACTGCCACCAGTCACCCACAGGTTAGGGATACTGCAAGGTCGCCCGCATTTAATCAGATTAGAACCAGGGACTTGGGGTGACAAAACAGATGCCCCATAGAACGATCGAAGAGTTGTAACTCGATGGTAGTAATGTTTTGTGAAAGAGTAAAAAGCCATTTACACCTCTCTTCCATAGGTATTATGGACGCACGCATTGTAGTGTCTGAAGTTCGCCCTTCGGAGACAACGACTTGGACTCTGAGGCTAGCACAGTTTGCGGCAATATGCCAGTTACTGACGATTCCCGTGGCAGGTAGGGCAGTGTCTGCAACCGCTGGTATCAATAGATGTTTACGGACTTGAACGTGAAGCAGTACGCATTACTGATCATCAGCGACAGCCCGTTTTAAAGCCGTACCAGTTGCTGTAAATGCCGCTAAGACTGTCCGGATTCTCGTACTAAGGACGAAGCTCTTGATGCTCGGCTGCGAAGTGTACAGCATTCATTCTAGACCACCTCAGATTTCCAACGGCGCGGATCTGAGCCTGTATGGGGTCCAGGCGACTCTCGCAGTATCCGAAACCCACATGCTACTGGTGGTGTTGCGCAGCAGGTAAGCGTCGGTACTGCGTAGCGGCGTACATCTGACACTCTATCGATATCCAACGATGTTGATCCGATCACTCGCAATGGAGATCAACGTGACACCAACTATCGTATAATCCGTCCTGGTGACTGGCTCGGACAGTGCATTTGGAGGTCAGACAAACTCAGTCACCTGGTCCTCCAGGTTGGGGGCTTGAAATGGGATGACGTCCATTTCTATAAAACTAAATCACTGCCACCTACTCGTTGCCTTGCGGGCAGGCTTTTGAGTCAAAGGCTTTGGATGAGGACCCTAATCGTCCTTCTGTCCAGGTCTAGGCGCCATGGCAGTATCCCACCCCACATACAACGATTACTTTTTCTTCAAACATCAACTTCATCCCGCACCGACCGTCGCGCGGATCAGCAAGGATCGCCTTATCTGCTGCATACAGCAGGGCATATAAACGAGAACGGGCTACTGCGTACCTCCCTTCTTTCTTTTCCACCTGTTTCGCCTACTCCAATCGCGACCTTCATTATTAACCTTCCTTTAATAATTCCCCGCGTAATTGACAGCAACCGAAGTGCCACTGGAGTAGAATCATCTGCATCCAACTTCCCACAGCACCCATCGGACACCTATCGGCCAGAATCACGCTGCCCGTTTCCCTGACGACATACAACGTTCGTTTGCTAAGGCAAGTAGGTCAACAGGTTGCATCCGTACGCAGGTTAGACCCACTGGGTATTGATGTGGGTTGTGTGTCCAAACTAGGATCAATGACCTTAATAAGGTTGTTGAAATAATTGCACCCGGCTTGTCCTCTCGATATTGGTTGCACACATCCGGAGACGCCGATGCAGCACTCACGGAGCAAGCTGGTGTAGGTATCATTCTAAGCGCCAAGGCTGAGCGCTCGTTGGTCGATTGGATTCCGGTGAACAGCAGTTTGTGTGGACATCAAATAAGGTTGATTCACGAAGTAGTACTAGACGTTATTTGTTTGTGATTTCCGCTTATGCTCTCACCGACAGCAGTTCTAATGCTGTCAAGGACACATTCTACCACGAACTGAACGCACTACTTCGCAGTGCTAATAGTTCAGATATTATAGTACTTGCAGGGGATATGAATGCACAATTAGGGCGTATGAGCTCTTCAGAAGCTCAGCTGGGTGGTAATTATGGGCTCAACTATGCACGGACTGACAACAGCGAGCGTCTGCTGCAACTGTGTGCGGAGCACCAGTTGTTTCTTAGTAGCACTTCTTTTAGACACAGTGGGCGCCGAAGTGCCACTTGGCGTCCTCCTGTAGCTGGCCAGCGATGGACCCAAATTGACCACATAGCCATAAGTTACAGGTGGCGCGGTTCCATTCTGGATCGCCGCTCGTACTGGAGTACCTGTGTCGATTCTGATCATGCCTTGGTAAGCTGTCGTTTCTCCATGAACTTTACCGGGAGGCGCACCAAGCGTCTCCTCCGATTGGCAACTGAGAAATTGTCTCAGCCCTCGGTCAGGCAAGCCTATCAAGACGCACTGCATACCGAACTCTCGCTGTATTATCCTAATGACACTGAGCTTCAGTGGAATAGGATCTCGGCCGCCATGCACGACGCAGGAGCATCCGCTTGTGGCACTATCAATGGTCACCGCACCAGTCACCGGATATCCGAAAGGTCTGTGAACCTGTTGGAATGTAGAAGAAACCCCCCGGCTGGCTCTGAGTACAATGTGACCAGACGGACTATTAGGCGTGAACTACAGAGGAGCCTACGTGCTGACAAGGAAGCCTGGTGGATCAGTCGGGCTCAAGAAATGGAGGAGGCAGAAGCAGTAGGCAATTACCGCAAGCTCTTTCAGCTAATCCGCACCACTGGACCCAGAAAACCAGGCGTCAGTGAGAAAATCAGAGACAGCGCGGGTTCGCTGATACACAATAAGGAGCGCCGTATGGCTCGTTGGGCAGAACACTTTGAAGATCAGTTCAGCTGGCCCCCTGCTCCTGGACCTCTTCCTACTCAGGTGATGCAGGACGTGCCATGGACGGTTAGTTTAGAGCCTCCGTCGGAGGCCGAGGTCCGAAACGCGATCACAGCCCTCAATCGTTTTCGTGCCGCTGGCGCTGATTCCCCCCACTTGCACTACTTAAGCATGGAGGTGAGGTCCTCTGCAGGGCACTGACCTCCCTATTCGAACGTATCTGGAACGAAGTGTGCCGGCTAATTGGAGCGAATCCATTATAGTGGCAATATACAAAAAGGGCAGTCGCACAGACTGTGTGAACCACAGGGGTATTAGCCTAACGCCAGTTGTGACAAAATTACTGGCCTCGATTATCGTTCGTCGCCTCACTGCAGAACGAGAATCTCGCATTAGGAAAGAGCAGGCCGGTTTTCGCCCAGGACGTGGCTGTACACACCATATATTTACTTTGCGGCAGGTGCTAGAGCAGCATCACGCATACCGCAGACCGACAATAGCTGTGTTCCTCGATTTCAAGAGTGTGTTCAATTCAGTCTTTTGATCGATTCTGTTCGACATAATTGCGCGGAAAGGTGTTCCCACGAAATATGTGAACATCCTTCTTGCTCTATACTCGAACACTACAGGCCGCGTCAGGGTCTACGGTGACCTATGGGATAGCTTTTCGATTACAAGTGGCGTTCGTCAGGGTTGTCCGATTTCCCAATTTTTGTCCACTTTCGTCGTGGATTCTGTCATGGAGTGTTCCCTCGCGGAATCCAACGATGTAGGCGTTGAAGTGCTGCCTGGTGAAAGGTTAGTTGACCCAGATTATGCGGACGATATCGTCTTGCTTTTCGACCATGTTGAGGCTGCACAATCAACTCTGAATAGCCTCTCTAGAGTGGTCCCATTAGTTGGTATACACTTCGCACCTTCAAAGTGCAAAGTGTTGCTGCAGGACCACCAGCCACTTTATAACCCCTTGATCCTTACTAACGTAGAACTCGAGGTGGTTGACCAATTCGCTTATCTTGGCAGCTGCCACAGAAACCATGAGTGCATAGAAACTGACGTCAGCTCACGCATAGCAAAGGCCAGAGCTGCCTTCTTGAAACCGCTGCATCTTTGACGACAGAAGGGAGTTTCCCTCCGTCTGAAAGGTCGTGTATACAAGGCCACAGTGAGGGCCGTTCTGCTCTATGGTAGTGAGAATTGGCCCCTTCGGTCTGAAGATCTGAGGCGCCTTCAAATCTTTGATCATCATTGTCTGCGAAGCATTGCTGGTGCCGGATGGCGCCATCGTATCCCCAACGATGATGTGCGTAGGCGAGTACTAGGTAGTGATAACCATGCCAGCTCCCTAGAACAACAGATAATACTGAATAAGTTGCGTTGGCTCGGGCACGTACTACGCATGCCTGGTCACCGCTTACCGAGGAGGGCCTTGTTCAGTCTCCCTGGGGTAGGGTGGCACAAAGCTCAAGGTGGACAGAAGTTGAATTGGCAGCGGGAAATGAAGTCACTGACGACCAAACTGGGTGCCGTTGGTCCGTCTCGCCTTCCGGGTTGGAGTCCACGTGACTCACCTTGTGCTTGGCTCGAGACTTTGCAGGACATGGCTCGCAACCGGCACCAGTGGCGCGTCCGCTGCCATCTCCTAGTCTGACTGCCTGTTTAAAGTGTGTTTGGTGCTGAGTTATCTGCGGGGTAATGGCTGATTATGACGCGTGGCAGTGAAAGCCGCAAGCAAGCTGTCTCGCCGATGCCGCCTTATCTTTGCACGATAGCCAGCTGTTTGTGACGGAATGTTGTCTGCACAAGGTGTAGTAGCCTTGACCCAGAATGTTTGCTTAGGGCATTAAGGTTTTCAGGTAAGTCCCCCTTTCTCTCCCACTTCTTAGTATTTATTTCATAGGTCCTCATGCTTGTATGGCAGCGAAGCATCAGTTCAAATGGCCGATGTACTGCCGTTGATGATGATGATGGTGTCCCCGGAGACCCTGCACTAACCGAGTGCCCACTCGTAACACCCTCTCCAA